CAGTGTTAAAGCACCACCCAGGTCTCTGCACCTGAAGGCAACCCAGAGCCTCAGTTCCCTTGGGAAGCGCTGAAGGCTGCACGGCAGTAGCTGCACCACATTCCTGAGAAAGGACCTTCAGCACATCTTTCCCGACTCTGAATGCAGGAAAAGGAAATTCACAAAGAGGTGACACAGTGACACGTGTCACTGTGAAGTGAGGTGACTCCTCTTGAGAGTGATGTCACAGGAAATTAAGTCAATGTGAAGTTAACTTACATGGTGAGAACCTTTCAATCCCGCTTATTAGGCTAAGAGGAAAATCCCAGGTCAGGGATACTGTTTCCCTGACACTTCTGTACCACTCACTAATCTTCCTCTTCAACACACAGGAGTGGAGCCTCAGGTCCTGAACTTGAGCAGTTAAGTATCTCTGGGAAGAACTGAACAATACGTCTTGTTTTTATTTTACTCGAGTTCTTCTACAAGTGTCTTCACTTTGTGGTAAGTAATACTAGTTTTCCAATTATCAGAGTTGAATAAAGTTTCCTTTTTATTGTAAAATTTTATTGTTTTACAGTTGACACATGTTAACTGTATATATTTAGGGGGTACAGTGTGGCAATTTGACATGTGTATGCAATGTGCAATGAACAAACCAAGGCAACCAGCGTTTTTGACTTGTTAAACATTTCATCATTTCTTTGTGGAGAGGTTCCAAATTCTCTGCTAGTTCTTTATAGAATCATAATAAACTTGTAAACTACGCTACTGTGCCATAGAACACAACTTACACTTCCTGTCTAACTGCATTTTTGCTATCCTTCCTCTCTCGATCCACACACCCCAACACCAAATCTAGCCTCCAACAATCAGTATTGTACCGTTTCTTCCATGAAGTCAACTTTTTTTCTTTTGAAAGGCAGAGAGAGAAGAAGAGAGGGCAATGGAGCTCCCCTCTACTGTCTCACTCCCTAAATCATGACCACTGGGGCCGGGCCATAGCCAAAGCCAGGAGCCAGGAATTCAATCCAGGTCTCCCACATGGGTGGCAGGAACCCAATTACTCGAGCCATCACCAGTGTCTCCCAGGGTCTGCATTGGCAGAAATCTGGAATCAGGAGCCAGACCTGAGCATCACACAGACACACACACACACATACACACACACATACAATCTTCCCATAGTCATAGTTTACAGTCATGCCCTCTGCTTTCACTGAATGGGAGTAAGAAAATGTCAAGGCAGCCTTTGTGCCATTTGTGCCATACAAACCCACAGCAGCCACTCCCATCACAGCCACCAGCGTCCCGGAGAAGATGTGTGGCTGCCTGGGTTGGTGAACATCATTCCTGCAGCAACACAGGACACATAGGGAGGAAGAGCGGGGTGTGCAGCCACTTGCTGGAGCAGGACCCGCCAGTCAACACCTGCACACCCTGGACCGAGCAAGACTCCCGGCCGGCCTCGTGCTGTTCACCGGGCCCAGAACTTCCTGGAGCAAGCTGCCGGGCTTCATGAAGCAAAAGGGGGCTCGAAGATTCTTAAGTGAGACTAAATTGCAGGCAAACCTTTAAAAATAAAGCTTCTTCACTCAAAGCAAAGGGATACACAACAGAGCAGCCTGGTGAGAAACAAAACCAAAGCCAGGAGACCTGAGCCAGGCTGTGGAACGTTGAGCCCGTGAGTGTCACAGGGGTAAAAGTACTACAGGCCAACAGAGACCACAGTCTCCATGCACGGCAACGTCCTGGATGTGACTCTCGAAGCTGGGATGAATTAGCAGCATATGCAGGGCCAGAAATCAATCCCCCTAATGGACTCCATATTGCTCCCTTCCTCATTAGCGTTCCTTACCCAGTCTGTGGCCTCTGCATTTCAAAAGAGATGTCTGGGCCTGGAGATGGTCCAGGGCGAAGCAATAAAAATGACGAAAAGGCAGGGAAATGGGTCTTAGAGGAGGCGAGGGGAGGATTAGAGACTGGGGATGACAAGGCCAACATGACTCTAACCATGACCTTTGCCTGAACAAAAGGGCAAAGGCATCCGAGCCCAGAAAACTCACTCCACACCCTGGCTGCATCCAATGAGCTCACATGTCTAGGTATTTTGACATAGTCTTCTAAACTTTCTCTCTCTTTTTCTCCTTTTTTTATTTGAATCCAGCTGGTGCTGTGCTAATCCAGCCTGCATCTAAATCAGGCCAGACCTTGGCCTCTGGAAGCATATTTGCTCCATGTGTTGGCCCCTGGTTTGGGTTTCACCAACTGAACTTAGCACAGGGACTCGTTCCATCCAAACTTTTAAATAAAAAGATCATGGAAGAGACATTAGAATTTCCAGGTAGGCTGGGAACAGACTTCACAGGAGGCATCGGGGGAAAGGCGGGAAAGGGGGGCCTTTGCTGCTCTGGGCTCTGCTGGGAGCTCACGGCCTCTGGTCACCTAGTAAATGGTTTACATCAGTATTTCCCGGTGTGAGCCATGGTGCATCCAGGTCCCACAGGAGCCTGCCCGGCCTTGTGCTCCTTTCTCACGGCAGAAAGTACAAGATGCAGTCATTTGTCCCTTAATCAGAGGGGATGTCACAGTGTGGCTCTGATCATGGCTGCCTCAAACCTCACTGACTCGGAAGAGCCCTCAACTTGCACAGGCTCGCTCCTACCCTCTGGAGTCCATCTGTCTTTCCAGGCCTTCGATGCACCTTCTTGCTCATCTCACCCAGTTTAAATGGTGCCGTGGATGTTGTGGACGAAAGCGATGCCCTGCGATGCAGGTCCATTTGGAGCACAGCACAACAGAGAGCAGGAGAGTTAACCAGCTCTGAGGCAAGACTGCTGCTGTTTCTGGTCCTTCCTCCACTCACCAGAACAAAGGCTTCAGGCCAGGTGCTTGAGGTCCTGTCCTTCTGCTTCATGTCTGACATAGCAGGGGCACTGGGGGTCCTGGTCTATTAAGTTCGTGGTGATTCACAGGATTATAAAGGCCAGAGGGGTGAATCACATGGGTGTATGGTGGGAAAACACCATTCTTTCACAATCCTATTCTCTGCTATTTCTCCTGATATGGGTATTTTGATTTGCTGTGTTGGCAAGGGTGTCCCTCCCAACTGTCAAATATGTACACCCAGGAGCCAGTGCTCTGGCACAGTGGGTTGAAGACCCAGCCTGCAATGCTGGCATCCCATATGGCTGTTCCACTTCTGACCCAGCTCCCTGCTGTTGCACCTGGAAAGCAGTGGAGGATGGTCCAAGTAGCTTGGGCCCCTGCACCCACATGGGAGACCCAGAAAAAGCTCCCCGCTCCTGGCTTCAGATTGGCTCAGCTCTGGCCATTGCAGCCATCTGGGGAAGAAACCAGATGATGGAAGACCTCTCTCTTTCTCTCTGTCTCTACCTCTCTCTGTAATTCTTTCAAATAAATAAAATAAATCTTTAAAAATGCGCACTCCAATACTCTAATGAGAGTTTGGAGAAATAATCCCCTTGTCGGGCCCTGGTGTCCAGGTGATCCCCTGTAACCAGATTACAGCCAGCATTTGTGACCTCTTACTAACGATTGGGATTGTGACACTTCAGGTTCTGTTCCATGTGACTTAGACTCTGAGTCAGTCCACAGGCCTCGGAATGTTCAGGTGCTAACATTTGGGTAAGGGTTGAGTATCTCCTCCCCAGGCTCATCTGCTGAAAGTGCAGTAGGGTTGAAGAGGTGAGGTCTTCAAGAAGTGGGACCTCTGGGCTGGCGCTGTGGCAGAGCAAGTAAAACTGTAGCCTGGGATGCCAGCGTCCCATTCGGGCACCAGGTCATGTCCCTGCTGCTTCAATTCCAATCCAGCCCCCTGGGAAAATCAGCAGAAGGTGGCCCAAGTGTTTGGGCCCCTGCCACACAGTGGGAGACCCAGATGAAGCTTCTGACTCCTGACCCCTGGCTTCAGCCTGGCCTAGCCCTGGCTACTGTGGCCATGTGGAGAGTGAGTCTGCAGATGGAAGCCCCCCCCCCCGCCCACCTCTCCCTCTAACTCTGACTTTCAAATAAATAAATCTTTAAAAAAAACATAAAGAGGTGGGGCCTAATGGAAGGTGGTTGGATCATTTGAGATGCCATCTGAGAAGGGAATAAATATTCCTAACTCCTTCCTGTGGGACCCAGTGAATTCCCACAGTAGTGAGCTGCTACACACAGGGCAAGCCCGAGCCCCTGAGTCTTGCTGTCTGCTTGCCATGGGATTGTTCCCTCCTCACACTCACTCCTATCATCATGCCACCTGCCCCGTGGTGATGGAGCCATGGGGACACACAAGAAGCCTAACAGGCAGGGTCACCCAGTCTTGGGCTTTCAGCCTCCAAAGCTGTGAGCTCACTGAACTTCGTTCCTTTATACATTATGCAGCCTCAGAACCTCAGGTATTTTGTTACAGCAACACAGCGTGCACTGAGACCCTGGGTATTTTCCCTCCCTTGGCATCTAGCTCCGGAGGAAAGCACTGTAGACACCTCTGGGGAGCTTGTGTGACTCATCCCCCTACACCTGCTGCTCTTCAACCTGGAGGCCAGCCCTGCCTAAACTCACGTCACGTGACCGTCTCAAACCCAAAGAATGGGCAGAGTGTCCTCAAATCTAAGCGGAGCAGCTGCCTTCAGCCTCTTGGTAATCCCTGCAGTACTTTGTTCTACTGCAGAGACAGAAAGGGGCACGGCTCTTGGAGCCCGTCCCTCCATTTGCCCCACAGGACTCTATGTCCTATCAGCTATGTTGCTGGCTCTCTGCTTGTTCAGCCATCCTTGCGTGCCACTCTGACCTCACTGCTCATTACAAGAGTTGGGTGCACAGAATGGTTAAGCACCCACCTGACCCAGTGCCACAGTCCTGTGATGACTGACTTTTTAACCAAGCTCATAGAGACCTTATGTACTGTGTCCACCTTGTGATCCCTCCCTTGACACCCCAGCTCAGTCCCCATGTGTGCACATTTCAACAAAACAACAATGCCCCGGGTCTGGGGTAGTCAGGGCTCCACCTACCATGGGGGATGGAGTTTCACTACCAGCTGGCTGATGGGGACTCGGCTCCAAAATCCCATTTTAGAAGCTGCACCCTCAGCTCACTTCTGGCACCAGCTGCCGTTGGTTAGACTTCCCAGGAAACAGACGTCGAGATGGAGCGTCACGGACGGGGGCTTCTGGGGACAGAAAATACCAGGCAGTGACTACAGCGTCCTCAGAGGATGGCCCAGGCTGTTCTGAGGCCAGGGTGCCTTTGAAGATGAACTGTTCTGAAAAGAGGAAAGCCCCCACCCCTGCCCCAGGCCTTTGTACCCCTCCATCACCAGTCCTTAGATGGAGGGGACGTGGCCTGCCCTGGGTGAGCCAACTCCCCTCCGACAGGGACAGGGTGACTCCAGGAGACACATGATGTGAGTGGCCAGCAGGCAGCACCTCTGGTAGCTGGCCAGTGAGTGCCTTGCCCTGGAAGGGATTAACAGGCAACAAGAGATAGCATCTTAGCCAGAGTGGGGAACATTTTTTTTCTGCCAAGAGCCATTTGGATATTTATAACAGCATCCATGGTCACACGAAACGACCAACTTAAAAATTAGCTTGCTACAGACTTACTGAATTTCAAGGCCCACTTGCAGGTGCCATGACAGGGGCCAGACCAGTTGATGTTCTGGGTCTCACATGACCAGGGCCAGATGTTCCCCACCCGTGGAAGAATGTGACAAAGCTTACAAAATCACATACCACAAGCACAAATCATAGCAAGAAGCGAATCAGAGCCATGGAGAGATGAGAAAAGTAGAATAAAACAAGAGCACATTTAGCACAGCAAACGTAACCCGTAGGCACTGCACACGCTGAAAGTGAGCCACAAATGCAATGCCATGATTCCCAATGGCAAGCGAGACGCACGCTCTTCTCCAACAGTCTCAGAATGCACCAGATAGGAGCACCCTGCCCTCGAGAGAGGGGCTGAGAGGGGCTTCCCTGGGTCCCCGGGGGCACTGGGCCTCCTGACCTGGATAAGGGCCCTGGCCTGCTCCTGGGAGTCCCCACCTTGGTGAGGAATTCACAGCAGTTTCTTGGAGCCTGCCTAGAAGCTCATCTCAGGCACAGCAACTGGAAGCAGCAGCCACTCCTGCTGCAAAGCCCTTGCCTCTTCTTAAGAGCCCAGCTACGCCTGCACATCTTCCTCGGTCGTGTCATCTCACGTGCCACCTTCATGGTCAGAAATATATGAAAATGCTCCCCGAACACCTGTCTGTCCATCGGCAAATCCTTTCAAAGTGGGCACTGTAATTGCAATAACCCATTGCATTTTTGAAACATTAGTTCATCCAAGTCTTTTTTTTTTAAAAAAAGCATTTTATTTGGTAAGAAGGATAGTGATAAATTAAACCTTTCATGGCCCATAGAAAATGCTCCTTTGTTTTATGTCCAAATCTCTCCCTGTCAACATCCAGAGAGACCTATTTGTGGAGAAAGCAAAACAGATGATGTGGCCGCACGTAGAAAGAGGGGCACATCTGTCTCCAAGTACCTCCAGCCACTTACCAGGATAAATCTTCCTGCCCCAAAGCCTTAGAACACCAGGCTTCTGCACCTCCTCCCCATGTGGCCTGCCTGCTGGCTTCCTCTCCCTCTTAAAGATCCTCTCCTTGGCCCCAGTTCATCTGCAGGCCGCCAGCATTACATGATCTCTGTCTCCCTTTCTCCTCCAACTTCCCTAGCTCATGTGCCTGCACTGGCCCCAGTTAGAACTGTCGACATACCTGTAGTATCCTCCTGTTTGAAGAGATTGAATCGGGCCGGCGCCATGGCTCACTAGGCTAATCCTCCACCTGCGGCGCCGGCACCCCGGGTTCTAGTCCCGGTTGGGGCGCCGGATTCTGTCCCGGTTGCTCCTCTTTCAGTCCAGCTCTCTGCTGTGGCCCGGGAAGGCAGTGGAGGATGGCCCAGGCCCTTGGGCCCTGCACCTGCATGGGAGACCAGGAGAAGCACCTGGCTCCTGGCTTCAGACCGGCCATAGCGGCCATTGGAGGGTGAACCAATGGAAAGGAAGACCTTTCTCTCTGTCTCTGTCCCTCTCACTGTCTAACTCTGCCTGTCAAAAAAAAAAAAATGAATCGAATCTCTATCCCTCAAGGATTATTCTCCCAACATTTACATTTTGCTGCTTTCCAAATTCACCTATGATTTCTCTTTTTGAAGGACTCACCCGCCAGTGAGCCGAAGCCTAAATGGAATTTAAAATGCTTCCAGTTCACCTGCTCTCCCACCTGAAAGCAGCATCAGTAACCAGTGCCAGAGAGAGCTGGGACCTTGCCGCTCCAGGAGAGCTCCCTCTGGGGATAGAAGGGAGAGTACAGAGGCTTGCATGTTCCCCTTAAGTCAGCTGAAGACCCTGCCCCAAAGCCCTGCCCGGGACAGGGGGGCGGGGGGCTGGCCCCACCTTGGGAAGCCAGAGGCTGATGAATGCAGTACAGAGAGCTCCCCTGTAGAGCCACCAGGGGCAAGGTGGGAAGGAGCCTGTGGCTCCTGGGTTTAGATAAAACACGAGTCCAGTGTCCCCAGCGTTCTCTGCCCAGGTTTCTCTTCGCTCCCCCGGTGAGAAGAAAGCCTGCAAGTCTGCAGTGAGGGGGAAGGAAGCCCTGTTTTCTCACCTTGGGTCCCACAAGCAAGTTTATTTGAAGACAGATTCGTATTTGTTTGCCAGGGCTGCCATAATGGAGTAACCCAAGCCCAGGGGCTTATTAGTGGAAATTGACAGGCTCACGGTCCTAGTGGCCAGAAGTCTAATATCCAGGTGTTGACAGGGTGGGTCTCTCTCAGGGCCTCTCTACTTAACTTGCAGGTGGATGCCTTCCCACTGTTCCTTCACATAGTCTTCTAGGACAGTGCCTGGCACAGGGTGTCAGCAGAGAGCTGGCCAATGTTCCACCACAGCCCAGTGTCCCCCCACTCAGCCCTCCCTGTGTTGTTCTGTAGCCTGCACCTGTTTTATGGATCCACACCTGGGTCACCTGCATCAGACATGCATCCCTCCCACCTGCTGTCACCAAACATCCTGCTGCCTGCCTCGGGGCTACTTCACCCTCAGATCTCCCCGTGTGGAGGCACCGTGCGTGCCCACCCAGCCACAGTCCTCTCTGTCTCATTTTTTCTTCTCCAATTAACCATTCCTTGCTCATTCCCGAAGTGCTACTCACAACAATGTCATTAATCCCTGGCACCAGAAGCCTGCTCTCCAGTGGTAAAACCACACTCCCAGGACACAGGTGTGCATGGGGAAGGGGCGGGCATGGCTGACTGGTGGGTTCAGAACCCCTCCAGGTACTGCCTCCCCTCTGCAAGGGCCACTGGAGGGACATGTTCCCCAAGCCAGGGGTCGCACCCTGTTCCTGGGTTTAAGCATCTACTGAGAAAGGTGGGATTTTTAAAATATTGATTTGAAAAATAGAGAGACAGAGACAAAGAGATCTTCTCCCCAAAGGCCCCTTGGTCCTTTGCCCCCATGTCTCCACTGCCAACACAGTCGATGCTGCTACAGATACTCTCTGCTTCCTCCTAAAGGGCTCCCACACGCAGGTGACAGGCTGGATGATTGTGCTACCAACTTTCATCATCAAAGTCTTCCCCTAAGTACCACTCGGGTCTGAGCTGTAGTGCACTTGTCTTGTGGTACAGTCCTGGGACAGAAACCTGCTGAGCCATGAGAAGTCTGTCCATGACACAGGATAAGGAGAGCTTTAATAGAAAGAATTTGATCATCTGGGATCCAAGACTAACCACAAATATACAGTGAGAACTCTAAGGGAGCCCTAAGGAGGACTCAAGGCAAGCCAACCCTCCCCAAGACTGGAAATCAGACTTCACTGGAGAGGGTGGGCTGCACCATACTGGACAATAGGATTGTTTGCCTGAATGCTCAAATGACAGCTGGTCCATGCCACCAGGCATGTTGATAGCAGCCCTCTGGGATGCAGGCTAGTGAGTGAGCATAAAGGGGTAAGGATGGGGGGAGACCACTCATGAGGAGGTAAGGCAAGGCCTACAGGGGGCGCTGTCTGCCCTGGGGCAGCTCCAGGAAGGTCGCCAGCAGGCCAAGCCAGGCAAGTCTGTGAGATCTGCGCGAAGACAGAGAACTGCTGGACGTCCCCTGAACCCACAACCCTGACCAGCTGTGCCATGGAAGCCAGCGGAAAGGAAACGTACAGCAACTGGAGCTAGGAAGAGATAGGCCATGCACCTGCAGTGACTTCCCAGAGCCTTCCACTGACCTGGCTCAGCCCTGTGAGTAAGAAAAGCCCATAGTAGCCAAAGAGGACCCAGGAAGAAATTTGCAGTTGGGAGAGTATCAGTTGATAGCCCAGTTGAGACAAGTTTTGGGACAATCAGGTCATGGCACTTAGAAAGTTAACCAGCTTGAGGTGTGGTTTTCCATAGCATGACCACAAAACCCCCTGGCAAAATGTAGTGTGATGGGCAAATAGGAGATGGCAGTGTTCGCCTTTTCAAAGAGGGCTGTGATTTAAAATACACTCTTTAGCAGCTGTGCCAAGTTTAAGAGACGATGCTCTGTGCTCAGGGTGGTAGAAAGTAGGAAACAAAATTTTTTTCCAGAATACCACCTCTCACTTTTCTAAGTGTTATCTCTTCCTGTCCCCTACCCACCCAACACACATACACGCACACACACACACACATCACATAACAGGTAACTGAGCACGGGACCTAGGCTTCAAAGCAGGAGCCATGCCACTCTCTCCATGGGACCAGCAGCAAATCCCGGAGGCTCTGCACCACACTGTTTCATCCGAAAGCAGGCCAGGCTTCAAATGCTGACGGTTTGACCTCATGCCGTGGTCAAACACACACATTAGGCCACTTGTGTTTCAAGGACCAGAATACCCAACTAAGAATGGCTTGAAAACTCCATGCTGGGGCTGAGAGGAGGGCAAGTTCCAGGAAGATTGATTTTGCGACTCAACAATGGCACAAAACACAAACATTTTTGACTTTGTCCTCACAGCCACACGATGGCTACCAGAACGCAAAGCATCAGAACCTCATATGCTCTCACTCAAAACAGACAAGATGGAAGTAAAGAGTGCCTTTCCTTTGTGTTGCTCTCTTTTACTAGGGGAGGCAATGTTCACAGAAAGACCCAGCTGACCACCTTAGAAATCCCATTAGCCATGATTTGGAGGTCACGTGCTCACCTCCACACGAATCACTGGCCAGGAGACTGTCAGTGCCATGGTGGCTAATGTGATTTGGGCACAACTACTCCCAACAGAAAC